AGTAACTGTCTTTTCCGTCGCATTATTAGAACAGCAACTTAGTCTAACTCCCGCCGCTGCATGCACACGATTTTTAGTGTCAGTGCAGTGGTGAAAATTTCGGGTACCCGGTCCCCGCCCGAAATTTTCAAGTCAAACCCGGGTTCGGCAAAACCCGTGATGACTCAGGCCTAGTTTGTTTACCGTCTATTAAAATGGTGCCCATTTCAGAGCATCCCACTGTTGTAACTGTAAACTGGTGTATTATAATTTAAAGAAGTCTTCGATGGAGAAAAAGGAGGTGATTCTTCGTCCTACCCCGACGATTCTTCCATGTTGTATCGTCGACTCAACATGGCGAAGAGAAAGTACGCATGTGCGGTATTGCGTACTTTCTCTGGTTGAGTCGACGATACAACATGGAAGATGTGTCACAATCGTCACTTTCTGGGTATATATTGACTACAATGACTGTTGGCTTTCTCTCTCTGTTTTGTCCCTCAAGTCCATGGCTCCATTAATTTGAGTTTTAATAACTTAAGTTTTAAGTAATAGTTTACCTCAAATCACCAGTCGCATGATGTGTAATTAAATCCCCTTCAAGTTGATGTCAATTTCAATTTCATTGAGTTATGTAAAATTATAATTTTTGAGCTGAAGTGTTGTGTTGAGGCCTTGTGCCTAGTTTTTATTCTCCAAATTCTGGCAAGTATCTATTATTAAAGATAGGCTTGAGTTCTGGTAAAATGATAGAAAATAAATTCTCATAGAATCCTACAAAACTTATGCTGAATGTTCAAGATTACATATACATGTATGTAAATGACATGTGCAAATCAATTTTGGTAGAAACTGTATAGGGGCTGAGTAATAAATAAACCATTCTTATATAGCGCATATAGAAAAAATTAAAGTCCCTATGCCCTGAGAAAAAAGAAAATAAGGGATAATAGCAGACATGAGGTAGAGAAGAGAAAGAATACAGGTAACTACCTTGCCATAACATTGTATTATTCTTACAAACAAACAAAAATATGTCTTTAAGAGACTTGAAATTTTCTACTGTATCAACCTGCTTAAGATGACTAGGTAATTTATTCCATAACTCTGCAGCAGCCAGTTGAAAGGATCTCGCGCCATAGTAATTTGTTGATATTGAGGGAGGAACTAACAAGGATTTTGACTGAGAGTGAAGGTTTCTTGCCAGGCAATATTTTGTTATCAATTGTTGTAAGTAATCAGGGCCTGTAATCCTTCCATATGTACAAGACACTTGTGTCAAAATCTTAAAATCAATTCGTTGGAAGCCAATGGTTTTTTTCTAAAAACTGGGCTAATGTGATCATGAAGTCAAGTGCGAGTAACCAACCTTGCTGCAGAGTTTCTGGATTCTTTGCAACTTCTGAATTTCATTATCAGGAAGACCATATAAGATACCATTACAGAAGTCAAGTTGAGAAACTACATGTACATGAGCATGAACAAGTCTTTACCGGTATGTGGACCTCTTTGAAAGAAAGGGACGAATTGGCCCAATCTTATGCAAAATAAATAATGCTGATTTGCAGATATGATCATTCACATGAGCTGACGTTGTGAAATGTTCATCAAGTCTCACTCCAAGGTTTCGAGCTGAGTCAGCAGAGTGTGTTACAGACAGTGTTACCAAATGAAATGGTATCGATCTGTTTACATTGTCTAAATTTACTTTTAAAGTGAAGGACCTCAGTTTCATCCTCATTGAGTTTAAAGAGAAGGTTGGGTTCTGGGAAGAGGTGAACAATAATTTGTGAGCATTATTATTGTTATTATGCAAGTGTGGAAGATTTTTATAAAAAAAAAAAATCTTGAAAAGCATGACTCTTCAAATGCCTTCATATTCTAAATATGGCATGGAACAGCATAAGAATCGGGACAGATTTTTATGCCACATGTTTGTGTAGTCCCACATCTTTCAGTGTATTAAAGGCACATTGTCCTACTTGTAGCTACTTGCTCCCTCTATATAGAAAACTTCCCCAATCGGTGCCTGTTGGTCCCCCATGATCCTCTTTTTTCTTATGTTAAATGAGAGCTGAGTTAATGAGATAGCCACCTGTCACAGTGACCTCGCTGGCTCGCTGGGCGGTCTAATCCCTTCTTGCTGAAGTAGTAAAGCCTACCTTTAAAAGTGTTTTTTATTTTACCAAGACTGAGCCAAGTTTCTGATCATTTTGATGATTCCAGAACCTTGCTGTACACACCAATACTTACATGCTAGATGATCAACCTTTTCTGATTGATTCCACAACGTTTCTTTCACAATGCAATCACATGACCAGAACTCACCTGGCTTTATCTTTAAGACCATTATGAGTCAACCAATTCTTGATATCTACCATACAATCCTGGAGTTGCACAGCTGCTTCATTCTGACGACCTTTCTTGAATAGGACATACACTTGGGTATCTCGGCATACATCATACCATTTAACTAGTGTTTGCTGATGATGTCATGTAATGAGCATAGAAAGATAAGGAAATCGAGGTAAGCAGGCCCTACACCATGTGCTTTAATACAGGTTAACACACTACATGTACATGTACGTGGAAATGAGAGTTGTGGTTTTATTGATGATAACTTCCAGCAAGTTTTTGTGAGTTTGTTTTTATTTTACTGGTTCAAACAATCAATCTAATGAATTTTAGCCATTTTTAATTGCAATTTACACTTTGTTTGTGCTTCCAGCATACACTACATGTGTGTGTTACAAACTGTTCATACACATGGACATAGGTAGAAGTAATGAACAAACATTGCCTGAATGCCTATTTGCTAAATCACTACCGTGTATGTTTAACAAGATCCTGAAAAAATAGAAAAATCTTTTGTAAACTCAGATTTCTACATGTTTATATCATGAAGAATTTTGACTGATAAGGTAGAGATGGATTTTGAATAGGGCCCTAATTTTGATGTGAGAAATATGCAGCCATTGAAATTAACAGGCCTAATAAAAACCTGATTTAAATCGATTTCCCAATTTTTAATTTTTTTTTTCCTGATTTTTTCCCGATTTTTTTTTTTCTTCCCGATTTATAAAAGAAAAGAAGAAAAAAAGAAGAAAAGTCCAGATTTTTTTTTTTTTTTTTTTTTTTCAGCAATTTTTTTTTCTTCTTCCATATTTTATTATGATTTTCCCGATTTCCCTCTTATTTTCTCTATTCTTCCCTATTTTGCCCTATTTTTTCCCACTTTTGCCCTATTTTTTCCCAATTTTTTCCCAATTTTGTCCCAATTTTCTTACTCGAATGGTGGGAATGTTGTTAGATGCCGTTTTTTCCCAGCGAATCCTCTTTTCTTTTTTTTACTCGAGGGGGGCGTGGTTGAGGGGAAAACAAAAAACCTATTTTTGTTTTAGTGCTCACTATCACCCCTGAATTAATAGTAATCTCTGATATCATAATGTCATTAATCTGAAGTATACATGTACATGTAGTTTAATGGTATTATAGTCCATTCAATTGCCCATGGCTCTCTTTTCACCATGCTGGTATTACAAACAAGTTTTGGTTTTGGTAACTTAGCATTATCTCACCGATGTTTATCTGTAGTCCCTGGCAACCATTGGTTTTGAACCATGTATTTGCTGTCATGAGACAGATATTTGCTTGGAATACCCCCGCTTTCACACATGGGAAATATTTTTTAAAGCTGATTAGTTTAAAGAGATTTAAACTAATCAGCTTTACATACAACATCAATTCACACACCGAAAATGTTGGTGCGATCGTTTCGAGATTCACTGCTCTTAAATGCGCAGTAGGGCCATTGCACATTGTGTGTTTACTATCAGGCCGATTGGCGTGCGCTACAGTGTGTAATTGGCGCCCAGTCTTAGCTCCGCCCAGTTATACCCTTTCCCACACAAAATGTCTTGCCTCTTAGATACGGACTTCGTATCTGCAGCCTGCTCTGACCGGCGTTTATATTGCGTGTTTGTATCATGAAACTATAAACTAAACAGCTTAAGATACAATGAATTTTACCACTGTGTGAAAAGGCTGTTCATTTGATAGTCAACTGCCCACTGCTGGTTTGTTCTTCCTTTGAAGAACTGATTCCAAAGCATATATGTACATCATGAGGTTGTCCGTAAGACATGGTTTTGTTCATACGACACATGTCAGTTTTTAATCAAATAAATTGCAATTTGATCACAAAGCTTGGTCCATAATTGATACCCTGTGTTTTGATGAATTACACCATATTCAATTAAAACCTTGAAAAAGTATCGATGTAACATCATCAAATTAGCACTGATTTCAGAGATGTCTGTGTAACTTGCATCATGATGCATGTCACTTCCGTGTGACATGCTGTCTAGTGTTGTAACATCACGGATATCTCCAATTCCGTTTAACCGCCAGTCAAAACCGGACGGTTTTCGGTTTAACTTAACAAAAACGGGAAAACGGGAAAACGAAACCGTCCAATTGAAAACGAATAGTGCCATGGGCGGTCGGATACCGGACGGTTAAACGTTTGACTACAGCACTAATGCTGTAATTCGTCGCTGTTTTTACGAAGTGACGGTAGTGGAAAAAAAATGCATTCACTTTGCGTTACGATTTTCCTCACTACCGTCACTTCGTGAAAACAAGGACGAATTGGTGATGTTTTCCTTTTTTACTGAGTTTATTGAAAATACATGTACAGCATTATCATGTTCATTTTAAGTAATTTTGCAGAAGTTGTATATATGTTTCAATTCAAATTTTTGGCAAACTACACAAAGTTCTGAGGATAAAGATTTTTTTTAAATAATGTTTTTTCTGTGTCTGTACGACATGCCACTATTAAGTGTCATATCTAAAATTAAAATCAGTGGTCACTTTGACTGACCACTTATACATGTACCATGCCAAGACTGTACTACATAACTACTTAGAAATCCAGTAATATGTATTGTCAGTATGCCAAAATATGTTTCAATGTGCCTATGATTGATGTGCAGTTGTTTGACTTGTTTGTTTGACAGAGTACCCTGCACCACCAGTACCTTCAAGAATGGACCTAGTCTCTTCCATCAAGCGATCCAGTCTGGTCCACATCTGGTTCTGCTGCGTCTTTGTGCTCAGCGCTCTCATCGTGACGACATGCCAGTGCTTTACGCTGCTACTATGGCCAATCAGCAAGAGGTTATACCGAGAGGCAAATGGTCTCATCATCACCATGATGTGGCATGGTAAGCCGGCTGCTCTTTTTTCATTTTCCATTTGTGATTTGGTGGAATATTCTTGCATCACTTCATCTTTTTCTTTTCATGTAATCTCCTTGGAGCTTCTCTCTCTCTCTCTCTCTGCTCCTGTGTATTTCTTTTGCTGGAAAGGCGCATCCTTTGTGAAAAATTGTGCCCTTCAGGCTTTGAAGGAGGTCTCTGTGAACAGAAAGGGTTAGAATACACTGCAGAAATGAGAAGGCAGTTGATTTAAACATATTAATGGCTTACACAAATTAATCAATCATGACCACTATGAGAGACACCACACCACAATATCCTTGTTTAGTTGCTAAAAAGGCTTTTGACAAGTACCAGCATAGACATAGACATAGACATCCAGTAAATAAGATTGATTGATCGATCTGTATTGAAAAACAAGTCAGAAAAAATCTTGGAACCTTGAACCTGCTGGTTCCAAGATTTTTTCTGAATTGTTTTTCAATACAGATCGATCAATCAATATTATTTACTGGGTGTAAGCCACAAAACAAATATGTTTAAATAATTAAATAATTTCTCCTAGGAAGCATTACATTTATAAAAGATATGCTCTATAATATTATCATTTATTTTCTTCATATTCTTTGGTCGTAAGACTAATAGCTGCTAAGATTTTCTTTCAGATTTCTTTTCTTCTACCGTCTACCTGTACACAATTCAATTTGTTGTGATTGGGCTCGCTTTAGACCATCTCTCAAATTTGCCCTTGAACCTTTGATCTGCTAAATATGTTTTTGCTGGAAACCTTTGCTAATACATGTAAATGGAGTATTTTGCTACATTGCGGTTCGTTTTGAAACAGAGCTCCTGTGGCTGATAGACTACTGGTCCGGGTCAGAGGTCCATGTTTATATCAAGGATGAGGAGCTGGAGCTGATCGGAAAGGAACATGTAGTCCTGATCCTGAATCACAGACAAGATGTAGACTGGCTAGTTACCTGGCAGGTAGCAGAGAGGTGTAATGTGCTAAGGGTGAGTTCTAGTGGGTTTTTTTCCTTTTTTTCTTCAGTTCTGAGTTTTGAGTTTTTGATCGATCGGGTGGGGGGTACATGCACAACATTACTTATTATAGGCTCGGTATATTAAGCTTGGCTTGTTAAAACTCTTTTGAGTAATGTGCCACGGGATTCCATATCCTCAAACTGCTGGCGAACAGAGCAACAAGACCAAGCTCTGTAATTATTAGGATCTCTGTCCAGTAGTGCCGTGTTTGTGCCATCGAACTGGATCTACCAAATGAATTGATTCATAATATATGTAATATTTTTTCCCGTAACATGAGAGTAATTTTAATAGTTTCATACTTTTAATTAAATGTAATGTTAATTGTTATTATATAATTGTTTTAAATGGGGGCACGCTACAAGAATCCTATCTCGCGCTCAGGGGCAAAGTGTCTGACGCGGCCGGTTGTAGCAACTACTTTGAAGATCAAGATACATTAATCTTGATCTACTGTAAGGAGACATGAACGAACGAGTGGTTTATTCAGCTGTAGATCATTAGCTTTGTGGGACCACTTCTACATCACTAAAGAAACACCAAAATCAATGTAAACGGGGCAGGATTCAACTTAATTATCCTTGATGGATGACTTTATTTATACACTGTAGGCATTATTTTAGAAAAGATTCACAGTTGAGTCACCTTAACAAAACTATTTGCAAATCCCCTGAAAGGTCGTGTGCAGTTTTGATAACCCCCCCTCCCCCCAATTTGTTTTTGTTCTCCATCTTGTATTCTTCAAGAGGATTATTAGCAAGATATTTGCAGAAAGAAGCTGCTGCAAGTCTGTGTGCCCCTTGTGATATAATAATTAAACAATTAGAAGTGAATCTGAAAAAGGATGGCTGGTGTTTAATTAATGACCTTATGTCTTGCTTGTTTTGTCGGCTACGTATTAGATAGGATGGAAACCAAATCCCAGTGCAAGTAATGCATATCACGTGCAGAAAGGTATAAATTACTAGCTGATCGGGGGGGGGGGGGGGGGGGGGGGGCAAATCAGCCGCGGCCCTTCTTGTTTGGGCGAACTAAACAAAATGGGAAAAAGAGAGAATGATGGATTGAAAAATGAGAAGAGAAAGAGAGAATAATGTAAAAGGGAAGAAGATAGAGGGTGGAGGAAAAGGCAAAGAGAGAGAGAGAGAGAGAGACAAAGAAAAAAGAAGAACATGAAACTTAAATTTACGCTTACAGATGACATTTCCGAGGAGTTGGCTCGACATGTGCTAAAGAAGTCTGCGGACGAAAGTACAACAATACGAAAACAACAGTTCCATAAAATTTTCTTTAAAGGAGAAAGAGAGGTTATTTCTAAAATTAATTGAAAGGGGCTATGTGAATTTCAAGGAGGAAATTACAATTTATATTGCTTGTGACAACTATTTCCTAATTTTAAAAAAAATTCAAGAACTTCATTGGGCTCCGCCCCCAAGAATCCTGGCAAAGGCTCTCCCCCTGTACCCCATCCAAAAAGACCGAAGTGGTTCCCAAGACAACTTTTTGTTGTATCAAATTGGAGAGAGTGTGAGTTTTATGTAGTTAAAGCTTTTAACAACCACTCCCGTGGACCTTTTATTATTTACAAAATTTCTTGCTGTCTGCTGCTTGAGATCACTGGAGTGAAGAAAGGTAATATTAATAATATTAGGCATTTCTATAGCACTGTCTATCTAGAAATGCTATTCCGAGGCGCATGTATTATTACCCCGGCTTCAGCCTAGCTGCCAATACAATGTATAGCAAGAATCCCTATTCAGAGAAGGATAAATCCTTTTTATGCAGATGGATTCTTCTACCATTCTTGACCAGAATTGTGTTTCAAACTCAATGATGTGGGCATCATCCCATTGAATGTTGTGTCCAGTATTATAAAGGGCGTTTGTGCTACTTGCTGCTTTATCTGAGGGCTTTTTGTGCTCGTTAAAAAGAGCACACAATAGGGGCAGTGCAATTTAAATATCACGGGATGGAGTAGAGTTTATTTCTAAAATGAAATGAAAGGGCTATTTGACTTACAAGAACGATAAAACCTCTAATGCATCCCATGAAAGTTGAAATTTAAAATGCACATCCCCATTGCGAGCTCCTTTCAAAGTGCACTAAAAACCCTCAGATTGAACATTCCATCTTATATAATTGTCTTAAAGAGAGAAAGAGAGGTTATTTCTAAAATTACAACAGCCCTTTCATTTCATTTTTAGAAACAACCTCTCTTTCTTTCTTAAAGACAATTTCTCTCTTGAAAGTTGAATAAACTCGAGAGCAGCCTGGGCCCCTGGCAGGGGCTCTGCCAGCCCATCAAGCTCTGCCATTTTGTACGGATCCATTAGAAAACGTATATATAAACGTCATAGCAATTCATCCAAATACAAAATCCACGTAAGAGGATTTTGAAAGTTGTAAGAAACTTTCTTCTAATTCCAATACTATCCAATTCCAGCACTGGCTGCTCTGTTTTTTTAAAAATTGTAACAAGTCTCCTTGGGTCAGATATAAACCATAAACAAGCCTCATTTATCTTCAGTTTTTCAAACTGAGAAATGCACCTGTTTAAATTATTTATTTAAAAGAAGGAAGAAAAGATAAAGCTATTTTTAGTAAATATTCTTAGATTAAAGGCCCACTGCACTACTTGTAGCTACTTGCGCCCTCTATATAACAAACAATGCCTAATCGGTGACCATTGGTCCCCCATGATCCTCTTTTTCTTATGTTAACTGAGAGCTGAGTTGATGAGATAACCACCTGTCCAGTGACCTTGCAGGGCAGTATAATCCCTCCTGTAAACTACGGCAGATAAGCTTTAAATACTAAAGTTTGATGGTTTAAAAATGGACATATAGCATAAATTTGGGACCAGATTTTAGTTTGATTTGATGATTTCATGTGATACATGTACATACCTAATATTAAAGAAAATCCTAACATATGAAACCACAATAGATTGCTTATTATTTCTTTTGTTCCTGTTGCCATTACTCGACCCTACCTCTAGGGCAATTCTGTCAAATGTATCTCATTCACCATTGTACATAATTTAAAAATGTGAAGTTTCATGATGTGACCATTGAGTGATGGAAGTTATAACAATAAGAACCAATAGTCAATAGGCATATTAGGAAATTTTCATTTTTGTAGTATAAAAAAGGTGAATACACTAAGTCAGGCCTGATAAAAACCTGATTCAAATCGGTTTCCTGATTTTTTATATTTTTTCCTGATTTTTTTTGTTTTGTTCTTCCCGATTTCCCCCTTTTTTTCTTTTTTCTTCCCTATTATTTCCCATTTTTTTTTTACTCAATAGGGGGAAATGTTGGGGGGGAATTTCCTCAAATCCTTTTTTTTTTTTTTTTTTTTTACTCAAGGGGAGCGTGGTTGAGGGGAACCCCCCCCTTTTTTTTAGTGCTCACTATCACTCCTGTACACTGTACATGTATGTCATATAAGATCACCCTTTAAATCTTTCCAGCACATGACTTTCTTGGTTCAGATTCCACTTGTCCAGCTACATGTACATCAAGGTAGGGGGAGATGACTTTACCTCTCTACATCTAATTTCCATTTCTTTTTGTTATTGTAGGGGGCCAAGAGTCTAATGAAGAATGAACTGAAGTATGTGCCTTTCTTTGGCTGGTCTTTCTACCTCACCGAGCAGCTTTTTGTCAACAGAGATTACACAAGGGACAAATCATCTCTTGTGAAACATTTTGAGAACATCACCACATTCCACTATCCTTGTGTGGTAAGTATGTCTGTCAGAATCCTGCACAACCAGACACTTATAATGCAACATGAAACTTTAATGAACTCTTAAAGCCCCACTGCACTAGTTTGGCCAGGAGGGATTAGACCTCCCTGCACGGTCACTGACAGGTGGTTATCTCATCAAATCAGCTTTCAACTAACATAAGAAAAAGGGGATTATGGGGGACAAATGGTCACTGATTAAGCATTGTTCGCTATATAGAGGGCGCAAGTACATGTATCTATAAGTAGTGCAGACATTTTTGTGTTGAGAAACTTCTGTTAACTGCCAAGTTTCATTGTTGTGTCAGTTGGGATATTTTGCGCCATAAAACTTTTGCGAATCGGAATCCCTGGTGAAATTCACGAAAATTTCATGCACGTGAAAGTTCCTGGGTTTACAGTAATGTCTGTTACCAGCCAGAAGGGCATTAGTTCAGCTACTATTACATCATTATCATTTATTAAAGTCAGCACTTCCCTCACTATTTATATATTCATTCATACCAGTAAAAAACAAACTCCCAAATTGAAAAAAAATCATTTCAATTTCAATATGGAGCATACATTTGCAGGTACTTGTGCATGTTGTTCAAATATCTAACTCAGTGTAATAAACGCATTTCTGTTCTTTAAATCTCTGTTTACATATATTCTATTGTTAGTATGAGATTCCCTTTTTGTATTTTATAAAACAAAAGAAGGAAAATTTCAGTCAGAGAGAGAGCTCTTACTACCTAAACATTTAAATTTTCAGAAATATTTCACACAACTGAAATTGCTTTCCCTCTCTATTATTCAGTCCCTATCTCTAGATTTACTTTCAGCCATATCCCCCCAAATTTTGAATAGGACCTTTAAATCTAATTATTTACAAAATCCATATGTTTACCAATGGTTGTGAACCTTGATAAATGTCTTACATCTTGCTCAGTGAGTTAAACCTACACTGTATGATACTACTTTCCAAACTAAGTAAATGTATGTGAAAGTCATTCTCACAAATACATGTATTATCTGAATAAGGTGATATTGTGAAGGGGTTAAAGGTCATCTTGCTCAGTGAGTTTAACAATTGATACTACATTCCAAACTAAGTATGTGAAAGTCATTTTCACAAATACATGTATTATCTAAATGAGGTGATATTGTGAAGAGGTTAACGGTCACCTTAATAAACTCCTTCCATCTTGCTCAGTGAGTTAACCTTTGATACTACATTCCAAACTTAGTATGTGAAAGTCATTCTCACAAATACTTTACATCTGAATGAGGTGATATGGGCCACATGACTTGAAAGTTGTGCAAATAGATTAAGGAAATAGGATAACACTTTATTATTTAGCATTGACCTGATATTAGATGAAAAAATGCAATTGTAATGAAATAGGAAGCTTTACAAGGTTCTGGACAGACGTTTTATTTATGACCCTATGGCTACTGCCTTTTAAGGTTGAATTGAGAAATCAATTACGTGGGCATGTCCACATGACACTAAATGGAAAGAAAGAAATAAAAGGGTTGTAAATTATGTCTCTGTAAAAGAACAGAAAAAAGATTAAAATAATTTGTTGGCTTAAATGTTAGAAACTCAATACATATTTATATATTTTTTTGCGATTTGAAACATGAGATATATGCCAAAATGTTACATATTATGTTTGTGAGCACTAATAATGATAATAATAGTATACATTTATAAAGCACAGAATCCATGCAATTATATATTGTACTGTGCTGCAAGAGCTCCTGATGTGCTTATATCTACAACCTAAAGTTAAATGAAAAGATGTGCTATTAGTTTTGATCTAAAAATACTTAATGATGGTGATTTTTAAATTCTAACAGTAAGTTATTCCATAGACCGGGGGTGGTAGGTCAACGGTTATTCCAAGTTGTTGGCCAGCGCATGCAAATGCTGATGTATGAAATTAATGCAATGATTATATTGTCTATTTGGAGTGAGAAGGGTGTAATAAATGTATAAATTATATATAAACGTATTACTTGTCTGGCTCCAATATCAATACACAATATCATGGATTAAAGTAAGGCAACCATGTAATTAGGAAATACTCCATGTCTTTGTCTGTAGTACTTGCAACAACTGTTGTTCATCTTTTGTACAAACATACAGAAATTGCACTTTGATCTTCCTTAATCTCTTATTTTCTTCACATTCCACTTCTGATGCAGAAAAACAAATTGTGGTTGAAATTCCCTTTTTTATCTGTAAATAAGTAATCAAATGCTTTGAAGTCTGACCCTTTTTTTGTCTAGATTATGTTAGGTCAATATTATTAGAACTTAAAAGTTTATGCTTACCGATAAAGGCAATTTTAGTGAGTGAAGAGAGTAAATTAAAGTGTTACTGCAAAAATTCACTGCCTGAACTCTGCCCGGGTGCTTACACTTTCAGACGAGGCATTTTATCTCTTATCGTCTCTCTCTACCCAACTGCAGTAAATAGATAACTCTTGAGTGAACACCAGGGGAGTGTTTCACAAAGACTAAACTCGACTTACTGTAACTACACGTATGGCAGGCTGTTCATGTCACTGGTTGCTCTTACCGTTGGTCTCTCAATTAAGATCTTTAGATAATATTTTTTTCTTCAATAATGAACTATAAAAAACTTTGTAAATTCTGTAGATTTGTGACCACGATTGGTACGTCCCTTGAGAAACCAATGCCAGCAAATGATGAGAGAAAATAGTGGCATGACGGCTTGCCATAATTAAGTTAAAGTCGATCTTAGTCTTTGTGTAACACTCCCCTGTATTGATTAATCTTAACCTGAAATGGTTAAATAATCTTTAAACATTTGGCATATCTACACTATGATTACAAATTAATGTGGCATACAGAGATTCTTTTGTGGAATATAAAGAGTTAACCTTTAAATCTGCTTGTGATATTGTTTTTATATATTTTCTTTACAAAAAGAGTGAAATCTCTTCTTTTTATTTTTCAAAGAGTCAAACAGGAGTAACGAGAACCAAGCTTTACCCTTCTCTAAGTTGATCTTCTTTCATGAAGTCCAATGTCATGGTACAAGTCCTTCAGAGAAAGGAGCATTCAGTTACATTCAAACCTCCTTTTAAAAGTGACCACCTGTCTATAAAGACCACATTTTCTGTTTCCCTTGAATAGTGTTTCTCATTGGAATGAATACTATGTTAAGAACTTGTACATAGACCACCTGCCTATGAAGACCACTTTTCCTGTGTCCCTTGAACAGGATTTATATACAGGCTGTACTGTATTTGGATGCAAATCCGTCCTCCAACCTTGATGTCACTTTCCTATCAAGGCCTTGTATCAGGTGTTTCTGACATGTCTCTGTCTTCTTTGCTTAGACACTCATATTCTGCGAAGGAACTCGGTACACAGAGGAGAAGTACAAGAAGAGCCAGGCGTTTGCTAAAGAGAAGGGACTCCCAGGCTTAAAACATCACCTCATGCCGCGTACAAAAGGCTTCAATCTCTGTATGCAGACTTACAAAGGAAAAGGTGAGAAAAAGTAGTTGCTTGGTTGTTTAAGGGATAGTTGAGTTCTGTTTCTAGACTGTAATTGCCTTCAAAGTGCATGGTTATTGCTCTTATTCTTATCTATGACATTTATAGTGCCCTTAGAGGACCTAAAATTGCTATGAAGGTAATTTTAGACCCCAAAATGTGTGAAATTTAGCCAATACGATCATACCAATTCAGCTCCACTTTAAAAAAAATACATTGACCGTTAATTAATTAAGTAATTAATAATAACAATACATGGGCTGGCTGGTTGGGCTTAATATGACCAACACGAAAAAAGCCAACAAAAAGCCAACATCTGCTTTGGCCGGTATACAACGTAAAAGGCACTGTATCCTTTTTTCAACGGCTTTTTCAAATTATCAAATAATTGTGGAGGGTCGCAAATATTGGAAACCGTAATATTTATGGATATTTCAGCCATCTCTGAACCAATTTTGATCAAACAAAGATGATTTTGTCATTTAAATGTTCTTTCAAATTTGACACTCAGTTTTTCCTTATCTCACAAAAATTATTTTATGTAGCGCCCTCTGTAACAGAACTCAATTATCCCTTTAACACAGGATGCTAAGCTAGTTGACAAAGCTATGAATGATCAAGTCTCAGATTGTTTGTCTGAATTGTTATCTTTTAAAGACCGTCAACACTACTGGGCCAGAAGGGATTAGACCACACAGTGAGGTCACTGACAGGTGGCTATCTCATTAACTCAGCTCTCAACTAACATAAGAAAAAGAGGATCATGGGGACCAACAGGCACTGATTGGGGAAGTTTTCTATATAGACGGAGCAAGTAGCTACAAGTAGGACAGTGGGGCTTTAAATTGCATCCATATTAACATAACTTACAAATTACACAGGAAAAGCTGCTTCTAAAACTAACTCACACAATAATAAAAGTAGCTCTTGGATATTGTGCTTTCAAGACACCCTTCTTTTCTGTACTTCTTCCAGTTCCATATATTATAGATGCTACAATAGCTTATAAAGATGGTGCTGTGTCTACACTTTATGACCTGCTCTGTGGAAAGAAGTTCGAATACCACATATATATGAGGTAAGTCCATTCTATCTTAACCCTTTATAGCCGGGGGGGGGGGGGGGCCTCTTCATTTTCCACGATAATTTTTTAACGCAAAAGAATCTTGCGCTGAAATTTTATGACTTTTTTCTTTTGTGTCTGGCGCATCTTTTTGAAACAAATTTTTCGAAAATCGGACCTACCATTACAAAGTCACGTGACCATTTGTCTTTGCATTGTTTTTTTAAAGATAAAACATTGGTTATTTGGTCTTGTTTAGAGCTTAGGCACCTGTTTTGGGGGTCAAAATAGTTGAATTATAGTTAGAAATAAATAAAATAGCAAAAACAATAAAATACTTACATGTAAGTTTAAATAAACAAAGAAATACATAAGAAATTATCAAAAAAATAGTTAATATGAGCAATAACCTGGCTTTTTCAATTTGTTGTTGTTGTATTATTATTATTCCAAATGGTTTAAAGAATATGTGTAGTGAAAACGAATGTTTAAATATGAAGAATATGATTCATGGATAAAGTCGATTCGACAACTAATGGTCGTTATTCTTCCACTTAAAGACATTTTCAAGCCCTTTCGTTCTGAGGGAAGTTCTAAATTAACAGTATCTTTCAAATGCCGTTGGAATTTAACCTTTTGATTTTTTGGCCTGCAAATGGGACATAGTACCTTTAAAATGTTATCTCCTAATGAAAAAAATACATAGCGATTTCAAATATTTTTTTCAAAATGGATGTTTATTTAAAAATATATATTTAATTAATTTCTGCTACGGCATCCTTAAGTGACTTTCACACTCTGCCGTGTAGGCCTACCGTGTGCCACCGTGCGCGAAAATGTCTGGGGACGGTGGAGAACGGCGAGGGCACACGGTGGTTCGTTATCAAAGCGGGCAACGCGTTAATAGGGCGTTGGCGCTTATTTACACCCGGTGGGACCCGGCGAAAGTTTTGGGCATGTTCAAAACTTTGGCCGGCTGGCACCGGCTGCAAGTAAGCGGCAAGAGGACGGGGTTGAACGGTATGAATACGTTATGAAAACGGTCACACTGTATGAACACGTTCACAACACGCTCATAACCCGTTACAGAACGGTGATGAAAAATGGAGAGCGGACTGACCCTTGCCGTTCAAATCGGGGTATTTATGGCAGTTGTGTCATAACATCAGCAGTCCGGGGACTCGCTCACAGGACGCTCCGAGCGGTGAGGGGACGCTAAGTGACTGGTAGGTGGCTGCTACAAACCCGGTGCACACGTTCGAGACCCGGTATGGGCCCGGTATGGAAACGGCCAAAATTTTCAACAAAAGTCAATCTGGGCGGTGAAGACGGTAGAAGCACGTTCAACATCCGGTATGCGCCCGATGAGAACGGTCAGAAGATGGCAACGAAACGGTGAAAAGATTAATTTTATGAAATTTTTTTTGCGGCCGGGGACAAGTTCGCTCAAAACTCAACGTTCTGGAATGTTGTTTTTTTAATAGCCCGGCAGGTGGACGGTAGGCCTACACGGCAGAGTGTGAGAGCTCCATATGAGATGCCTTGCAGCACCTGGGATGAAAAAGGCTGATACATGTGAGAGATTCGTCCTTCAATATAAATGCTATTGACACACACGCACACCTTTTTCTCCTCTTGATTTCTCTTCTTGATTTCTGATTAATTCTATTTGTCTTCCTCCAGAGCATTACCCCTTGATGAGGTACCGACCGATACAGAAGAAGCAACTGCAGAGTATTGTCATGAACTCTATAGGAAAAAGGTAAGAACAATTGAGGCAAAAAGAACAGGATAAAAATGGACGTGACATTATAGTTCATAAAGAGGGAAAGACAAATTTCATCTTCTTTTGTGTTGAGGAACTTGCTTCTTCAAATTTTGAGTTGATCAACATGGCATTGCATACATTGTTTCCTTTTGTTTGGGGGGGGAGGGGGTTGGGTGAGGGTGGGAACATCTGGTATATCTATGTTGTTTTGACAGTTTATATCTTTGATAATATAGATCTCATATATTGCACCATAAGTCTGGCAGCTGCTTTTAGTTAAACTAGCCATTTTCTATCAATACAAGCTTTTATGAATATTTTCCAATTTGAATAATTTGTTACCAGCTTGTCAGTCTCAATCCAGCCATGCATTTTTTTGTTTAAAATCTCCAAAGGACGAGACATTCCAGTACTTCCTAGACCACAACACCTTTGAGGGATACGATGCGGAGAGGGGGCATAGCTTCTTACCCCCTACACCCACTCCTAAGTATGTGATGTCCTTCTGGTTCTTGGTGTTGGGGGTTCCCCTCATATACTATGCCTTCGTCACGCTCCTATCAGGCTCAACTCTTCTCATCCTTCTGGTGGTCGGCGCCCTCTATGCAGGTTAGTGTTTAGGTTGTAGGGAGGCACGTCTGAGGCATGTCCCATTTGTTAATTGAATTGTGTAATGCAATAGTGAACCTTAAAGGGATCCAGTAACTTTGTCTCAGATTCTGAAACAAAATCCTGGATTTAGCTCATGCTGCAATGATAATAAACCTTTAGGTCAGTCAGGAACCCCATGACTTTTATGTGCTACATAACCATCCTTTTCCAATCATTTCCACACAGTTTCTTTCACAATGCAATAGGGGGGTGTTTCACAAAGATCCTAAGTTGAACTTATCTCTAAGTTGGACTTAAAAATTATGGAAAGCCATTAGCATCTTTGAAAATATTTTGTAAAAGTTATTTTGGAAGGCATTAATTGTTTATTCAAATCATCCATATTGTCTATCATCAAGGAGATTTCATGTTCTGGATGTGGAATTCTTAAAAAGTCTAAAATACGTGAATTTCTGCTTTTGAATATATTTCATTTTAAGACTCCAATGGCTGTCCATAATTTTTAAGTTCTACTTAGGATCTTTGTGAAACACCCCCAGGGCCCCTTCTTACAAACAGATTAACAGCAGCTATGTACATAAGAGATAGGGGACTGCAAACTTGCAACCGACTCGGATCAATCGTAACTCTTATAAGACGGGGCCCATAACTTGATATAAACCTGATATCCTCCAATCTGCTGGACTGACAATCTCACAGGAGATAATTGAATGGTGGTGGTGGTTATTTTACCTGACTGCTAAGAAAGCATGCTTCTAAATAAGCAACTTGACGGCCGACGGCTTTAGGTCCTCTCTGAGGCACCTGGTAATGAGGATTAAAGCCTTACCAAAGGGCACTAGCGCATCGCCTTGGTTTTGAACCTGGGTCACCGGATTACGAGACCACTGCTCTACCGACTGAGCTATCGCGCCTCCCATGATGGGTAGATAGAGATGGAGTGGACAGTGTGGTTGGGAGAGTAGAAAGCCATTGAGTACTACAATGAGTTTCCTGGTGGGCAGCTCACAATCCTGTGGCGGGTCTTGCAAAACTGTGGAAACATTTGACCAAGATAAAAGAGTATTTGGCCTCGCCCAAGTGCAGGCTGAAGCTAAGAAAGCTTAGAGAAAGGCCTTTATAAAGGAAATTAAACAACCATCCCCACTGCATGGGATTAGAATGATATATTACAATGATGATGATGATGATTCTCCATCTCTCTCTCTATCTCTCTCTCTTTCCCTCTCTTCCCCATCCTCTCTTCCAACCCTCCTTGCCCCCCTCTCTCTCTCTCTCATCCTACACCTCTGCCTCTCTCTCTTTCCCTCTCTTTCCCATCCTCTCTTCCAACCCCCCTCTCTCTCTTTCTCTCTCTTATCCTACCCCTCTGCCTCTCTTTCCCTCTCTTCCCCATCCTCTCATCCACCCCTCTCTCTCTCTCTCTCTCTCTCTGTCTCTCTCGCCCCTCTCTGTCTGTCTCTCTCTCTCTCTACTCTGTGATCTTTATCTACTGCAGTGTTCACCTACACCAAGTCCATTATGAATGTCACGGTATCATCCAGAGGTTCTACTTATGGCAGCATCAAGAGCAATGGGAGTCAGGGGGTTAAGAATGGCTCAGTGGATACCAACAGTTCAGAGGTAACGGCAGGGGAGAAGAAGGAGGATTAACCCTTCATCTCCCACAAGAACAGAAATAAAATACACAGGACCAAGGAGCAAAATAGAGCTATAATGGAAAACTTGAGAAGAGCTCTGGTAGAAAATAATGACATACATTACAATCATTGGGAGACAAATCCACAAAGAACTCTCATGAACAAAGAAGAATTTTTTAATCGGCCGAGTGACGAGAGCCAGAGGAAACCGATGGATTATAGAACACATGCAACGGCAACAATTGCTCTGTGCTCAATGTCCCACACCAATCAGATTCCTAACTTCTTTAAAATTTAAATTGGCTAAATCAGTAAAGCCAATGTCCCAACACATAAAATGACTAGCATGCCATTTTTGGAAAAATGAATGACTTGGAAGGGCCTTTTTTTCTGTAGACGACGTATGATAATACTAATAACAAAGGTTGGATTGCCATTTAGAAACATAGAGTTGCCTATTTCTATGTGTGTTACGCCATAATTCGCTGACATGGGTTTGGTTGAATTACCATAGTATGTGTGTAGATGTCCCCCAGGCATGGGACACTGAAACTACTCTAGATTGCCTTCAAGTTTGGTGTTAGGGAATTTTATAATGATGAGCTTTTACCTATGGTTTACTGTTTGGGTGCACTAACTGATACTAATTGAACCCAGTAGCTCAGGCTATGGTTCTATTGATTGTTTACTATAATCAAACTGTATTCAACAGGTTTATAAATATTATTCATTATTAAATATATTATCAAGGTCTTTCCATATTTTTCTGTTGTAATTAAGTGTGAAAATTAATAATAATGTATAGTACTTTTTTTTAAAACTTAATGATCGAGTTTTGATCTTTGTACTAATCTTAAAAAATATGTTTGAAAATAATATTTATCCACTTGTAACAAAATGTTTTTAACCAATATTATGTCACCAAGTTTACACAATTTTATCAAGATTTATAGAGAGGGAGGCAAGTTTTGAATTCTTTTTTTTATTTGTTCATTTTGTGCAACATAATCCTATGCATACCCACTTATTGCTGTGTGTTGAGAAGCAGATGCAGAAGTGTGAAGCGTACGGCGCTCACATCATTATTAACAAAACCAACAACAACAAAGAACATGCCACGGCTTATTGCATCATATTTATACAAGCCTATGATTGGATACAAAGAGTATGTACAATATAAATGCATTCCAATATTGTTCAGAATTGTGTATTGAATTAACATTTTTAGTATGATGTTAAGAAATACATGGTGAGATGTGACAGTGTAATACATGAAAGCCACCTTGCAATTTGGGCATCTTGAAGAAAAAGTAAACAGTAAGTAAAATGTGTATTTTATGAAATCAAATTTGTCTTTTAATGTGTCTGTTATGCAATAAGTAATGAATATTGAGTGTCATAGAATATAGAAGGAAAAAATACTGATGATGACCTAGAATGTTTAGCCATGTTTTGTAAGGTCTGCAAATGTATTTGAATGTACTTGAAAGAAGTTTGATGTTCGGTGGGTGTTTTAAATACATTTGTAGGGTGTGGCCATTTTAACAGAAGAAACAAGTGAGGAAATGAAAACTTTCCGCAAGCTTTAAACAAAGAACAAAAAGTGATTCATTTATACCAGGGCCCTGTTGCATAAAACTTACCATTGATGGTAACTTTGCCATCAATGGCAACTACCATGGTAACAGGGCTCAACAGCCAATCAAAATCAAGGTTTCCATGTTAAAACATCAATGGTAAGTTTTTTGTGCAACGGGGCCCAGCTGTCTAAACAGCTGATGTTTATTTATGTTTTCGGGTTGTCCGTCTATCTGTACGTCCCGTTGTCATGATTGCGTTATCTCAAGAACCGATTGATGGATTAACGCCAAACTTGGGTCATGTATGTTTCTTGTAGGGTTAATGAACTTATCTGATTTTGGGGTCACGAGGTCAAAGGTCACAGTGCACATTTTGTATGCAAAAATTGCTTGTGATCGTGTTTTCTCAAGAACCAATTGATGTATTACCGCCAAACTCAGGACATATATGTATCTTGCAGAGCCAATGAACTGATTAGATTTTAGTGTCATGAGGTTAAAGATCAAAGGGATAACCCTGTATATGAAAAATAGCTTGTAATCACGAAATTCTGAGAACCTGTTAATAGATTACAATCAAACTTGAATTTTTAAAATTGCTTCTGTTTTGGTTTATAAAATCACTCTACGGGGGAGGCATCATTTTCGACTGCATGCAGTCGACGATCCAGTTAGTTTGTTTACAAAATTATTTTTTTAACAAGCTGACCTGCAATAACTTCTGTATATTGGACCTTAAAGATACTATGTCCCTTTTGCAGCCAACATCAAATTCTGTAGAACTTTGCAGGAATTATGAATATGTCATGCATGTCCTATCTGTGAAATTTAAACATTAGCAGTATCATGATATTCAAATTATGCAATTACTGGCTAGACTTCACTGTCAGACACTATTGAGTAACTGACTGGCATTTTTCTTCTTTGGTAATAACATACATAACATGAGCTGTAAAGGGTACATGAGCATTTGTCTACATCAATAACCCACTTCTTGTAATGGCCAAAATTAAACTGATTGAATATTTGCGCAGCATAAAACGTACGACCATTCGGTACAATGGTTTGAAAATCAAGACTATTACTTACTGGCTCTATAGCTCTTAAGTCGATTTGACAACTAATAGTCATTGAAAGACATTTTCAAGCCCCTTTTTTTAGGGAAGTTATAAATTAGTATTATCTTTCAAATGCTGTTGGTATTTACCGGGTAACCTTTTAATTTTTTTGGCCTGCAAATGGGACATAGTACCTTTAAGTCCTCCCTGAAACTACATTTTAAAGATAAAGTTGTGTTCATGCCATGTGATGAGAAACTGTCTGGAAACAATGGTTGGTTATATAGTACACAATAAATGGTGTATACTGTGAGGTTTCAGAAATATATCAAAATGATAAAAAAATAGACTCTGTCTTGCTGGAAGTCCCATGTACTGTTCACAGAACTAGGTATATAGTTTCCAGTGGGACGTGTTCATCGGTTTGTTAAATGAAATGTCGGTTCAAACATTCAGATTTTCTTGTCATATTTCAAGTACATATTAGGGCATTTGAGAATTGCAGTCCTTTTCAGGGGACATTTTCCCCATGATATTCCTCCAAACCGACAAAATAAATGAGTAAGCTCAAACTTTATTTCCATTTTCATTTTTACCAGTACTCAACCTTCTCTTTAAATGTCAATAATGTCATTGTACAAATAATTCATGTTTGCAAGTGCATTAGTAAATATGCACTGCACTCAAAGTCACAATCGGATAATGAATGAAACTTGTTGAGTTCATTAACCAGCTCACCGTGACTCACCCAAGTACAGTTCATATCATCAACGAAGGAGCTTCAAAACAGGAATTATTTGTTTTATAAAATGGGTCTGTAATATGCCTCTCAATGGACACATCAATTTCCTTGCCACACAAAACTACGTGTATTTCATTTTTTGTCTGAATTTTGTATTTGCCAGTGTTGCACATACTCACATCTTAGCCATGCATTGTCACTTTTAGCAGTGGGTTAGCACTTTTTAATGGGCTTTTTTTTGCACAATGGATGTGGTAGAAATCAATGATGCATGGTCATGGGTTGTCTTTTGACTAATTAGATTGTCTACTTTATAGAACCCATTTTTATAAAACAAAGCACAAACATACATACCCTGTGTTGTTGCCTATGCATATGAAGTTTGATCCTCATCCCCAAAATGAGGAATTCTTTTTTTTAATGGTTAATTCTCACCAGCAAGGGTACATAGATACGGACAAGTGTAATAATCAAGTCTCAACTACATGTGAAAGGATGCTGTAAGGCCAGTTTACATAATTAGGACCAAGTTGGTAGTAGTTATAGTTGTAGAATGAGTATTATTAGTATTAGTATTAGTATTTAATATTTCTTTAATCTTAAATATGTTGAATCTTAATTTTAATTATTTGTATGCGCCTTGAGCATCTCTAGAGATGGATATGTTGCGCTTTATAAATATTATTATTATTATTATTATCATTATTTGTTATTATTATTATTATAATGATCATCATCATCGTCAACATCACCAGTGTAGTGGCTAGAATATGTCTATACATAGGCAGGCATTTTTTGTTTAATAGCTAGGGAAGTAGGAATTTGTTGAATATCAACTTCAGTCAAAGTTTATTGTATGCATGTTCTCTGGAGGTTTTCATGTGTTATTTTGGCCAAATTTTGGTAATATTCCTGGGAATTGGTAAATCACTAGACCTGTACTCATAATCATATATATCATTCTTGTGCAAGAAAATAGCGATTAATTCGTGGAATACATTCTGGATACTGTAGATTGGATTTGAACGTGATATTGGAAATGGGTTTTGCAACTATCCTTTCAGTGTGTGATTTGTATATTTGATGTCATTAGAAATCTTTTATGTAAATTTAAAAAAAGCCTTTCATTTAAGAATAAGGCGGTTAATAACAAATGGATTTATATAGTGCCTTTTCTAGAGGATACAAGATGCTGTCCCATAGTCTAAAGAGAAATTAAGAGGTATGATTTCAGATGTGTTTAGAAGAAGTCAAGGGAAGAAGCACTATTTCTCGGGAATGCAAAGAGTTTGTTCCACAGGCGGGCATGGGGCAATGGATTGAAAGGATATGAAACCAGGCCAGTCTGTTTTTAAGATTTGGGAATGAGGAAAGAAGGAGCTAGCTGATGTAGATCAAAGTGAATCACCTTTCAAGCATATAACACTTTGTATTCATTATTTTCTTGTAAAGTATTAGCGGATCATTGCTAAAGTGGATTGAAAGAATATGAAGCCAGTCTGTTTTTGAGATTTGGGAATGAGGAAAGAAGGAGCTAGCTGATGTAGATCAAAGTGAATCACCTTTCAAGCATATAACACTTTGTATTCATTATTTTCTTGTAAAGTATTAGCGGATCATTGCTAAAGTGGATTGAAAGAATATGAAGCCAGTCTGTTTTTGAGATTTGGGAATGAGGAAAGAAGGAGCTAGCTGATGTAGATCAAAGTGAATCACCTTTCAAGCATATAACACTTTGTATTCATTATTTTCTTGTAAAGTATTAGCGGATCATTGCTAAAGTGGATTGAAAGAATATGAAGCCAGTCTGTTTTTGAGATTTGGGAATGAGGAAAGAAGGAGCTAGCTGATGTAAATCAAAGTGAATCACCTTTCAAGCATATAACACTTTGTATTCATTATTTTCTTGTAAAGTATTAGCGGATCATTGCTAAAGTGGATTGAAAGAATATGAAGCCAGTCTGTTTTTGAGATTTGGGAATGAGGAAAGAAGGAGCTAGCTGATCTAGATCAAAGTGAATCACCTTTCAAGCATATAACACTTTGTATTCATAATTTTCTTGTAAAGTATTAGCGGATCATTGCTAAATTATGTTTACATAGATTGATATCGTATTTGCCAAATTTATGAGATATAAAAAAAGAAAACTAGAGATGCTTTTAATCAGTTATAGTATACTGGAGGCACACACAAGTAGTTAATTCCATTCAACTGAATTGTATTGTATTAGTAATATTTTATTTTATTTTGTTACTTGTTACCTATTGGACATGTTGAATAAGTTAGACAATACCACCTGTGCGCTTAGGAACGCCTGCAGTGTATAAAGCACCCTATAAATGTAATTATTATTATAATTATTATTCTTTGATATTGGAATTTTGATTGGAAATCATCTCTTTTCCCCAAAAATTATTGTTTTTGAAGTGCATTGCTCTATTCATCTTCAGTTTGCAAGGCCAGTATTTGTTTTTTTCATCTTTAAACAGCACAAAATGTCATAATATCAATGCACAACCAGAGTCATGGACTATCAGTTCTGTTGGGATTGAGATTAAATTTATATTTACATTTCTTTCAAATAGATAATGTACTCATAAATGCAAACTTGATACTTGTATGATGTTGCCTAGTGCTGATTCTCAGGAGATATTTTACCTGTACAATGTAGTATTCATTCATGTAGAAGTGTCATGGTATACTGGTTCATTCCCACGGGTTCAGGGCTCCAATCTCAGCGCACCCGCCCATAACATCCTTTGGCAAGACACTAATCCATATTTGCCACTCTCCGACCAAGTGTGAGGTACCCGGCAATAGTTGGGGTAATGATAATTCCACAGCTTGCATGAAAAGAAGTATTCATACTGATGTGGCTACCCTGTGTATACATACAGTCCTATTGAAATACCTGATGTCACAAAGAATGAATAAAGTGATCTAGTTATTCTGGTTCCAAAAGCCAAAGTAGAAAGTCATTTTTTTTCTTCATGAATTTACAAGGTAATTTAATCGTGCTTATGTCTCTGTAATGTACATCTTGAATCTTTTCTTAAAGAGAAGGTTGAGTTCTGGGAAGAGGTGAAAAATAATTTGTGAGCGTTATCATTGTTATTATGCAAGGGTGGGAGAACATCAGTTAAAACATGTTCCCTGAAAAGCATGGCTCTTCAAATGCCTTCATATTCTAAATATGGCATGTAACATTGTAAAAATTGAGACTTTTTTTGAGATTTTTACGCCGTGTAGTCCCACATACATTCTTCTGTGTACAGTGCTTGTAACTTTACCAAGACTTGGCCAAATTTCTTATCATTTTGATGATGCCAGAACCTTGTAATACACACACATACTTTATTACTTATATGCCAGATGATCAACCTTTTCTGATCAATTCCACACCGTTTCTTTCACAATGCAATCGCATGACCAGAACTCAACTTTATCTTTAATCTTGTCAAATGTTTGATGATATATTTGTGATCAAGGAGGTACCATGATAGTGATTGATTTCTCAATGTGCATTTTGCTCATTAAGCAAAGTTAATCTCTTCAGAATTTACTGAAATTCGATCCCAACTATTTAAAAAAAAAAATCGACATAAGGTAATTTCAGTGGCCTTGTAGGGCAAAGTTTGAAATGTGCATTACAAACATTAGGGAAACATTACACCTGAACAAAAGGAGAGGGGGGGGGGGGGATCCATCCAGTCATCATACCAGAAAATTACATTTATTGGTTATTGAAAGTTAAATTTGGATGACTTTAACATTTTTAAAATATTTGTTTTTATATTTGAAGTGGGTTATCTTTCTTTTTTTCATTTCAATTATGGTACAAAATCTGTTATGCTCCTAATTTCATCGACCTCCCTAACCTGATTCTGGCAAGTTGATGATTTTAAGATACAAACAGAGCAAGCTCTAGTGTTAATATATGTGAGCTTTTCATTTTCATGTTTGCTATATGGATGACTAATCTGATTGTATTCTTGATTACTATGATAAAGATTTGTTGAGACTAAGTTAGAAATGTTCATTGTGTGTTATTGGCTTGTCAGCATCTTTGTGTGAAGTACGCACACACACAAGCTTCTTAAAAACCAAGCTCTTTTTTCTTCAATTTTTGAATTGTTTAAACATGACTATAGGGCAGGCGCGTACGCAGGGGGGGAGGGGGTGGGGAATGTTTTTTATTGACTTTACCCCCCCCCCCTCCCCTAACTGAACGAAATATGGGTACTGTAGGCCAAATTTTCAAATTTCCAGGACAAAAAAAAAAAATGTGCTTCGCCCTGTTAATTCACCAGCTGGTTGAGTCGTTCCGAAATTTTTGGCGCAATTATCAAATTCTAACCCCCCCCCCCCCCTCGAAAAAAAATCCTGCATACGCTAATGCTATAGGGTATTGAAATAGAGGCATTGCAGGGATTTGTCCAGTGAAAATCTAAAAACTTGTAAATGGTTCAAAAAAATCATAGTTCAAAATTTCCTAATAGTGTGGTGGGAAAATATGTATTAGCAAAAATACAGTTGTTTTTTTTTCAAATTTGAATTTTGCAACTGGTGCTGTTGTATTCACCAATTTGTTGTGTACAAAATAAGTCTTTTGATCTGATATTTTTGTTTACATACTTAAAAAAGATAAATTTTGAGATATGTTTTTGAGGGTTCTAGGACACCTACACCCTGGACATCTATCCCAAATCAGCTAGCCCCTAGGACAACACTACCCACTAGGGCAACCACCCTCAAGGACTAATACCCCCGGGACAACTACCCCCGGACAACTACTCCCAGACAACTACCCCCTAGGACAACTACCCCCTAGGACAACTCCAACCTGAACAACTACCACTAGGACAACTACTGGTACCCCCCAGACAACTACCCCTACAACAACTATCCTCTAGGACAACTACCCCCCAGACAACTATCCTAGGGGTAGTTGTCTGGGGTAGTTGAACTAGGGGTAGTTGTACTCGGGGGTAGTCGTCCTAGAGGGTGGTTGCCCTAGGGGGTAGTTGTACTAGGGGGTAGTTATCTGGGGGGTAGTTGTCTGGGGGGTAGTTGTCCAGGGGGTAGTCTTCCTAGAGGGTGGTTGCCCTAGGGGGTAGTTGTAGTAGGGGGTAGTTGACTTGGGGTGGTTATCCGGGGTTGGATGTCCAGGGGGTAGGTGTCCGAATACGGTTTTTGAGGGCTTGCAAATCCCGGATAGGGGCTTTGTATATGGACGAAAGGGGCAAATGTCTTTGCTAATGCAAATATATGAGCCCATACAGGGGAATGGGAGAAGGGGGAGCTGGTGAGAAGAGAGAGAGAGAGAGAGAGAGAGAGAAAAGGAGGGGGGCTACTATACAAGTGGTGCATGTGAATGAGTTCATAATGATCTATCTGCTCTCGAGTCTAGGCTGTATATGCATCTATCATACAAAGTTGTCAGCAGATATAATGTTTAATGAAAGGAATGAGGGGCAGTCAGTATCATATTGTCAGGTATCGGTACCTCAGATACTAAGTCTACACTGTTTTATTTTATTTTGTATTTTATATTTGTTTCAATTACTTCTTACAATGGCATTCACAGAACACACATCAAGTCATGCTTTTCACTGATACAAAGTAATGTATTGAACTTATTCTCAACCTATTTCAATGTAACAAGTGATTTGATATAACATGTTTATACATTACTTGATCCTCCCCTTCCATACTTCCATACCTAGGAGTGGTTCTGGAATAATAATTGGGGTGGGGAGTGGCCTGGGGTCCTGCAATCATTCCGACCTGTGAAGGGGGAAGGGGTGAGAGGACAATTTTTTTTTTGGTCTTGAAATTTGCAAATTTTACATTTTGCTCCGTTGGGGGGGGGGGGGGGGGGGGGGGGGAGGTCACCTTTTTTAGGTCAGCCATTGGTATATATTTTTTTTTAATTAAAAAAGAATTAAAACAAATTACCAAAGGGGGGGGATTCCTCCAAAGTACACACATAAAAAATACCAAGGGGGGGGGGGGGGGGGGGTTAACCCCCCCCCCCCCCTGCGTAGGCGCCTGGCCTCACATATGTTTCTATTCAGTGGGCTATTAATGTAGGCCTAGTTATCCATATGAGTCCTGTTGATTAAAGGCATGCATGAATTGCCATATTCTGGATCTCAGCTGCGGACAGGACTCGCCCGTAGATCTTGACCTCATCAATCAAGCCGTGGAAGTACTCGACGGTCGTCCCAAAGCCGGCTTGACCGATGGTGACGGGGTTGTTTCGGGTTGGGATGGGACCGTTGCAACACGCGGGATTGGTCGCTGTCTGCTGCTCTCCGTTGAGGTAATACCGCAGAGTGGAATCGTCATAAGTCATGACCACGTGATTCCAGGTATTCTGGGCACCAACCAGGTTTTGATAGTCCCACGGTCCGGTAGCAGTCTCGAATACGCTACCGCCCAGCATCTGACCGCTGTTCTCCCGACCCATCCTGATCTCCCAGCCCCCATTCGTGCCATAACCATTGTTGACGATGCCCTGATAGTTCCCCCACTGACCGGTGCGCTTGAACCACACGCTGACGCTGAATTCGTCTCCCCATGCGAAGTTAGCAAGGGACTGGACATCAATTTTCGACGCTCCGTCGAACGACGCGGCCTGACCGCATTTTCCATTGGCGTAAGTAACCGCGCCGGTCGAGGTCCCGTCGCGATTGTTACCGGAGCTATCAGCCGCATCTCCCTCAAATGGAAAGTATGCTACAGCGAAAAAGGGAAATGTGGAGATAAAACATTATATCAATAGATATATCACACTCTGTTTGAAAAAAAGTATTGATGTCTAGAGGCTGGCTTACGTTACCGCGCCATATCTGAGCAAGCCTGTACTCAGACATGGTGCTCAGACATGGCGCGGTAATTCGCCAAGGTTTTTTTTGTACAAAACTGGTATCTATGTTTTCTGATCAATATTTTGGTCTGAATAATAATGATAATACATCATATTTATAACGCGCCTAATACTTTGTTTCTAGGCACAGTATATATTATTACCCTGGTCATCGGAATCGGGCTTACCCGAAATATTGCATCATGATGGGCGTACTTTCAGAGTAGGTTCGAGAAAATGGGTCATTCATAAATTATGATACTTTGAGTGTCATTGCCATTTGAAATTTTTGTTTGTAATGGCTTTATTTCAGTAAGTGGATATTTTTGAGTTGATATTAAAATAATACCTTAATTTAAGTGGGCCTACACGGAATTACACTTCCTAACATGTACTTTTCTGATGCATATACCGACGTGACAGGCATATAACTGCATTTATTTGCCGTAATCATAAGGACATCGTGATAAGCAGAATCGCCAAATATTATCAATTTAGCTCCCTAAGTGATTTGATTGTCGTAGTCTTTTGACTTGAGACAGTTTTATCTTGTTTATATACGGGTGTGAAATAATGAAGACCTATTGTGAAATTATATTTCATTACCTCATAAGAGGAATTACCATTACAAATGTAACTAACTTTGTTTGAATAAGTAATATGTGCCTCAAAAAATCATTGAAGATGGTAAAATAAATGAAATATAGATTTTGCCTCTTTGGAAACGTGTCATCTGCTGTGACTGACTGCTTTGAAGATGCTAACCTCTTAAGACTTGTACGAGTTTTATGTGGTGGATGGTCTATTAGTTAGTTCGCTTTCCCTCCCCGTCACACAGGAGTCAGTAGAGCGTCCGCCTTACAACCGGGAGGTCGTGGGTTCGAACCCCGGCCGCGTCATACCAAAAGACGTTAAAAGATGGGAGTTGCTGCTACCTTGTTTGGCGTTCAACAATAAGGGGATAGAGCGACGTCGATCTGGCGCTGCTCAGTGGCTGCCGGGCTCACGATCAATTGGGCAAAAAGAATTTCCGTTACGGTTTAATAAAATTTGGAGTGGACTTAAAGATGAATATTATTATTATAATGTGTTGTATACATATACATATTATACGTGCTTTTTCCATCAATATTTTAGCAAACGGCCTTTTTGAGTACTCATACAAATATAATGTCCAAATGTACTTCGTGTATGTTTTACATACTGGAGGTCTACAATGATGCAATGAATGACCATTTGCGAGCGGTGAAAGAAAGAAAAGTGATTAGAAATTAATGCTGTTCTTTCACCCAGAAAAAATGTTATATAGGAAATTATAATTTTTTTTTCCCCTTCTCCTTCTTTCATTACTTTTTCACTTCAAAAGATGAATACCATGCGAGACACCGGCCTTTTATAAAAGCTCGGTACCTCATTTGAATTTTAAATTACTTTGATTAAATTATGTGTTTGATTCCACTGCCTGAACACTGGGGATATGCTAACCTCTTCGACTTGTACTTCGTATCAGGCGCGTACGCAGGGGGGAGGGGGGGGGGGGGGGTTAGGGGTTAAACCCCCCCTTGAAAAAAAAATTATGCTAATGGCTGACCGAAAAAAGGTGACGTTACTCCCCCCCAACGGAACAAAATGTCAAATTTTCAAATTTCGAGACCCCCCCCCCAAAAAAGTGTCCTCTTACCCCCCCTCCCACTGAACGACTTTTCAGCTGGCTTAGTCGATGCGATTTTTTTTTGTACCCCCCCCCCCCCCAAAAAAAAGTGTCCGCTTACCCCCCCCCCCCCCCCCCCCCACTAAGCGACTTTTCAGCTGGCTTAGTCGGTGCGATTTTATTTTGGACTCCCCAAAAAACAAAAAAAAGTGTTCGCTTACCCCCCCCCCCCCCCCCCCCCCCCCCCCCCCCACTGAGCGACTTTTTGGCCGGCGCGATTTTTAAATTTTCCTGAGTCGTTGCGAAATTTTGGGCCCGATTTTAACCCCCCCCCCTTGAAAAAATTCTGCGTACGCCACTGCTTCGTATTATTAAATATAATTATAATTATTCTTCATTTTTATTTGTATAATTTAGGAATTACACTAAATAAGGATTTAGAAAAACATACATAGATCACCTCTCTGCCCATAAATATGCGGTAACGATTGCAGATTTTTTTTTAATCGGGAGGGGGGGGGGGGTAGATGCATAATCTTTGTATACTCACCAATCAGGCAGCTGTGAGGGCAGTTACAGTGCGACATCACTGTCGACATCATCATGGAGCTCGTAGCTAGGAATACCATGACGATGTATATTGATGCGGACCTGCTTCGATTTTGAAAGAGAGAGGGGAGGGGAAGAGTGGGAGAGGCAAATAAATGAAGAGGATGAGGAAGAGGGAGGAGGAAAAGAAGGAGGAGGAGGAGGAGGAGGAAAAGAAGGAGGAGGAGGAGGGGGAGGAGGATGGGGACGGAGAGAGGGAGGGAGAGGAGAAGTAGGAGGAGCAGGGGGAGGGGAGTTGGGGAGGAGAAGGAAGGGATTAGAAGAGAAGGAGGTTGAGGATGAGGAGGGCGAGAAGTAGGGGAGGGGAGGAGGAGGTGAAGGAGAAGGAGGATGAGGGGGAGAAGGATGAGGACGAAGAGAGGGGGGAGTTGGGGAGGAGAAGGGAGGAGAGGAAAAGGAGGTCGAGGATGAGGAGGGCGAGAAGTAGGGGAGGGGAGGAGGAGGTAAAGGAGAAGGAGGATGAAGAGGAGAAGGAGAGAGTTTTATGTTGCTATCATTTAATAAATAACATAAAGGATAGAAAAGTAAATCGAAAACGAATCAGCTAGATCTACTTGAACCCTTATCACAAAGAAACGTCATAGTACTGTTGTGAGCCAAAATTTTACCCAACCCCTCTTCATTGTTAAGGAACATTGTTCCTTGACATTTCTTTTAACTTTAGATATTTCTGAACCCTTCTTAGATTTCAAGACCAAGTAATACTTTTTGTTGTTAAACAAAAATCAAATCCGCTCAATAAAATGGAGCGGTTTAAAAATGCATGCTGCTCTAAAGAAAACACAAAAAAAATCACAATATTTTCTCACCTCATAATTGAAGATTGTTCTGTCAAAGTTCTTGCAATTTAGCGACAACTTTCAGCCACGTCTGACAAACTGGCTTATAGTTTAAGGTAGTAAGTAGGATTATGAAACTAAACGGGGTCCGGGACCATTGTTCATGAAGGTTTGGAATATTCTCGAAGTTGGTCAGTGGCGTATACAGATTTTGGCCTCAATAGGGGCAAAACACAACAGCCTTCATGAATGCCTATTTACTTCTTCAGCAATAAGACGATTGCCCACTCCCTCCCCCACCAAAAAAAGTGCTAGGCATCACTGCAACGTCCAGGTGAATAACAGGAACTTGGCGGATGTGCATTTCAAGGTAATGACCTCAATGCCTATTCGTATGAATCGCGATAGAATGTATAAACCATATTGAATTGACATGAAAATACTCGGCTTAAATTTACCTAGGTGGTTTAAAGTTTATCAAGAAAGCGTGCTGGTCATATTGTTTCATTTTAGAAGCAACCGACGAGAAGTCATTGGAAAAGATAGGTCATAGGAATTTAGTACTGTATAATTGCATATTATGACTTTTGCACTCATCAAAATGAGGTAGCGGGTTTTTTTTTTTTGGGGGGGGGGAAGGGGGCTCAAGCCATTTCTTTAAGCCCTTCCCCCCTGTTTTTTTTTCTTCTCGCGAGGAACATGATAAATGAATGTAAAAGCCCCTGAAAGCTCCCTCAACTCCTCCCTCAAACAATTATTCTTCAAGAACCGCCTCTGACTCAATCTTGCTGAAAATCATAGTGAAAAGTAGTACATAGGCCTAAATGGGGCCATCGTGTATATTGGGACTATATCACACCCTTTTCTTTTCCATATTTTTTACTAGAGATTTCATTCAAATTAAATCCTTAAATAAACAAATCAATGTAAATAAGTACTTACAAATACAAATCTTCATTTCGTTTTCATAACACAAATAAATTGTTAAAATGAAATCCCTGAATTGTTCTAATAATAATACTTTTTTTTTTTTTTTTTTAACAATTTTGTTTTATTTCTCCAGATGTGTAACACAAACCATGACATACAATTGAATAAAATAAACGTGTTCAATATTGATGCTTTTACATAAACATAATTAAACACAAATTTATTTGCAGTATAATATAACTTAACAACAAAGTAAACGTATAAGTACCTAAACATAATATGTCAATTGTAAATGTTATTTACTTATATATTACAAAAAAAAAACAAATCTGGAGATAATTTTACTGAAACAATCCTGCCCCCTCCCTGCCCCCTACATCACACAGACATACTCACCCTCTATCACACAAACATACTCACCCACTCACACACATACTCACCCACCCACCCACCCCCACCCCCCCCCCCACACACACACACAGTACTCACTCAGTGGATGTCTGCCAACATTCTCAACTTAAGAAAAATATACTAAATAAGTTATCCAGGCCGCAAAATCGAGTTACGCTTTTAACAAGCTCACGGTGGAGAAGAAAGCAAATCTTAATTAATCTTAAGCTGCTCCCACTTTAAAAAATGTGATCCTAGCTTTCCCATTTTAATTGCTATTTTCTTTTCCTCATCCCTATACTTAAAAATGCTTTTTTTCATCTTTTCTAAAGTTAGTACTCGCCCCCCCGATCTTGACATAAATGTAACATACTTCACCATGAAAATGATAGTATTACACATTTTTATTCTATATGAACTACCTACCAACCCAACAAATATATCTCGCCATTCTAAATCTTTAATTTCATCTAACTCAAAAAGTTGTATTAAAGCCTGCCATAACCTTTGAACGCTCCCACAAGATAAAAATAAATGTTTGTATGTTTCTATTTCCTGCTTACAAAACGAACATAAATTATCACCAACAAAACCAAATCTATGAAGATGCTCATTAGTGTATATGGCTCCATGCAATAATTTAAATTGAAATTCACGTTGTTTTCTAATGAGTATAGTAATTCTTGGTCTCACAAATATTTCTTTTAATTCTTTATCTATAAAATCATAGTCATTTTGCCCATCCCTTACCTGCAAATCATACGTTCGCTGCAGTGCTTTGATGAAATAATCATAGATTGTTCTTGAACCCACATCCACAAACTGTATTTTTTTACTAGAAATATGGAAATAAGTATTAAAGCTTATCAAATCAACCTCGAGGAATTCTATTAACCCTGAATCATCCTTCCATAACCTGGGTATCGCATCATAAATATCAATAATCATAAGCAAATTATTACCTTTCATACCGAGGTTCATAAAATATTTAACAGGCTTAACATGACCTTTCTCAACCAAATGATTCAGTTGAACAATCCCTCTTTCAAACAAGTATCTATCAAATATACTTTTTCCATTTATACATATATTCTGATTATTAAAAATAATTGGATTAATATAACCCTCCAAATATCTTAAATTACTTGTCTCTTGCCATGCTTGCAACATTTCCATATAGTATGGTGGAATATCTAAAACGAGTTTAATCTTGTTTAAATCATAATCACATAAAAAAATAAATCTACCACCCACAAACTGTAAGCAATGATCAAAAAACAATTTCCATCCCAAACTTTTCTCTCCATATAAAAGACGTTTTATCCACATTATGCGCTGTATTTTAACGGACATTTCAAAATTAATCATTCTTAATCCTCCAAAGTCATAATCCTGATACATTATTGCCCGTTTAATTCTATCTTTCCCCCTCCATATGAATTCAAATGAAATTTTTGCAACTTCTTTATATACCCAATGAGGGACAATAACGAGAGATGAAATATAATTTAATTTTGAAAGCGCATAAGTTTTTAGCAAATGTATTTTACCCATAATAGTTAAATCTCTTTGTTTCCACCATACAAGCAATTTTTTTATTTTACTTAGAATTTCTTTATAATTCAAATCATCTTTTAAACTTCGATCTAATGAATAACTAACCCCTAAAATATGTATTTCCTTAACCAAATTTCCAAATAAAGGCCCATCAGGTTTGTTCTCATCCTCACCCATCCACATAAAATGTGTCTTTGTTTTATTCACTTTAAGACCACTAATTTTTTCAAATGATTCAAAAATATATTGCAACCTTCTAACCGAATCAATATCCTTCAAAAATATTGTCATATCATCTGCATATAACACTTGCCTAATTTCAGATTTTCCAAATGTAATCCCTTTAATACCGTTGTCCCTCCTTACTGCATGCGCCAAAATTTCGATGGCAACCAAAAACAAATATGGCGATAATGGATCCCCTTGCCTTACTCCCCTTTCTATTTCAAAATACCCCGTGGAGTGACCACCGTTCATAACACAACTACTTATCCCTTTATACAATAATTTTACCCAAGAGCAAAATGAATCTCCAAAACCGAACAATTTCAATATTTGAAATAAATATCTATGAGATACAGAGTCGAAAGCTTTCTCAAAATCCACTGCACACAAAAACCCTTTCCCTTGTTCCCCATAATGCATAGAATAAAATAACATGTCATCTATCAATCGTACAGCTTCCCCAATATTTCTATCTTTTATATATCCAACTTGATCATGATGAATTATTTCATTTAAAACCTCTTTCATTCTTTTTGCTAGAACTTTAGATACAATTTTATAATCTACATTCAAAAGCGTGATGGGTCGATAATTTTTTATATGGAGAGTATCTTTCGCTTCCTTCTCAATTAAGGTAATTACCCCTTGTTTTTGAGATGCCGTTAATTCCCCCCTTTCGTATGTTTCATTCAATACTTCTACTAACAAATCACCCAAAGCTGGCCAAAAAGTATAATAAAATTCAACTGTTAACCCATCATTTCCCGGGGTTTTATTCAATTTCATTTCTTTTAAAACTTTCAAGCATTCATCTTTAGTTAATTTACCTTCACAGATTTCCTTATTGTCTTCATTTAACTTTGAAATATCATTGAAAAAGAAAGGGTCGTTTTGATTTATATCAGCCCTTAAAGAATATAAATCTTTATAAAATAGTTTAATTTCCTTTAAAATTTCCTCCTTATCTCTAGTAGTTTCCCCATTTTCTTTGTACACCTCCCTAATTACACTTTTCCTTTTATTCGATTTTAACAACTGTTCAAAATATTGCGTATTGTTTTCTCCATCTTCAAACCAAGGTGCTCTTGATCTTATTTTAATGCCCTGTCGAGAAAAATCATACAATTTATTTAGTTTATCCCTTTTCTCCTCAATACAATCAACAATATATTTAGTGGGTCCCACTACCAGTTCGCCTTCTAAATCCTTGATTTGTTTCTCTAACAGTTCTATTTCAACCCTCCTTGCTTTTGCCTTTTTCCGCGAGTATGTTATAATAAATTCTCTCATTTTCATCTTTAAAAAATCCCAAAATACTAATTTATTCAAAATCTGTAATGACCATTCAGCTTTTAATTCCTGTATTTCCTTATTCATCTCTTCAACAAAATCTTTATCCATACATAAACTACTGTTAAATTTCCAATATGATTTCCCAAAAACAAACTTATCAACAAGATCATTAAATTCTAGCCTAACGCCAGAATGATCTGGCGTAATAGATGTCAAAATCTCACACGTACCCACCAATTTTTCAACACTACAAGGTATAAACCAATAATCTAAACGGCTTTGCACCACCGGCCAATTTTGTCGAAAAGTAAATTGCTTTACATTCGGATTTTTTTTCCTCCATATATCTTCTAAATCGTATTTATTTAAAAATTCCTTAATCAAATCAATAACCCGAGATTTCACCGGTGTTTTTGACCCCACATAATCTAATTTTCCATCCAATATACTATTGAAATCACCTCCTAATAAAACTAAATAGTCCCGATCACACTGATCAAAAATACTTTCATCTAACTTCTTCAAAAATTCAATTTGTAAAGTTTCTTTATCTCTCGTTGGAAAATAAACATTAACCAATAGCATTTTAACCCTTTGTATTTCACCTTTAAAAATAATGTATCTCCCCTCTTCATCTACTTTAATTTTTTTTTCTTCAAAATCTAAATGATTAGAAAATAAAATAAGAACCCCTCTACTATGGTTTGACCCATGACTAAAAAACATTGGCCCTCCCCAATCTTGTTTCCACCGCTCTTCTATCTCTACTGTACTATATGTTTCTTGTAAGAAAATTATACTATTCTTTTTAGTTTTGCACCATTCAAAAATATTCACTCTTTTTAACC